ATAATTCTTTAGAAAATCTTCTCGAGACGCACTTGTAATTATCCTCCCAATTCCCTTAAACGTTTCACACACTTGTAATTGTGCCCTCAAAATTCGATTCCCTCGGCATTTTTCGCGAATCCTGCAGTTCTCTTCATAATCGTCGTGCCTACTCTTAACTCTTAACTCTTAACTCACGCAATGAGCTTGGTGTTATCCATGTTGGTGTTATGTGGTGAAACTCTTTCTAACATATCCTTAAAATTCCTTTGAAATTTTCTTCATAATTACCTTAACTCTCTTCTCCAACTGGGGGGTTTGGTAAAGAGAGATGATCAACCCGATTCGAACCTTCCTCAAAGTTGTCCTTGCTCGCTTTCTACACTCTATATACAATTTTCACACTGCCGTACTCTAACGGAACTATCAACTCTATACTTTCATCTCCTCATCTATCGTATAAAAATGACCACTAAGTCTGTTATTTGAAATTAGCATTTTCAACTATGTAAATCGTTAACTTCACGCAGAATTTTTTTTTTTTAATTCTTTATTTAAGAGATTTTTAGCCTTAGGCTAGTTCATCTCTAACTTCTCGCAGAAGTAATGCAAACAAAATAGTTAAACTACTGAGCAGTTCCAGGCAAACATTTTCAAAATGACATCCTTGAAATTTCAGACAAAATGTAGCACAAAACACCATTTCTGATCGAATTGTCGTCTTATAGGAAGTTGTAGAGGAAAATAATATCTTTCTGGAAAAATAATAATGGTTTTTATATATATTTATTTTAAATAATAATCCTAAAAAAAATTAAATGAAAATAGGGGAAATGGATGTAATGGTCATTAGTACCGTCCCAATGACGCGTTCATCTAGATAAAATTGATAAATAGCAGCGATGGACCCAATATTAGATCCATAGGCCAACATTAGAGTCCTATCTGAAAGTTGCCTTGCCCGATATTTAAAACATTAAAAAAAACCTATGAAATATGCAAACTTTTGGAATGGTCAAAACCATGGACACTTGAAAACTGACGAAATTCGTAGAACAAGAACTTTTGGTCAAATATTATGGATACTTCAACATAATTTTAAATACTCCAAATGTTTGAATTTTCAAAAGCTCTTAAAATTCAACAAACCATCATTGAATTTTCAATCATCAAAAGCTGTTATTTCGTTCAAATTCAAAATTCTGCCAATGAAAATGTCATCACTGTGTTCCGGTAGGCCAGTAATGCAATGATGACATTTTCATTTTCAGAATTTTGAATTTGAACGAAAAAATTGCTTTTATTTTTTTTGATGATGATTGGAAAAACAATGATGGTTTGTTGAACCTTAAAAAAAAATTAAATCGAGCAAGGGCCTTTTTGGGATATTTTGTTTAACATTGTTTTGTTGAAATTTATGCTTAAAATTACTAAAAACCATTTTTTGCAATTTTTTTTCCAGAAAAAAAAACATTATTTTTCACAACAACTTTGTCCCAGACGTCATTTCGATTGGAAGTGCCGTTTCAGTGCTACAAATTTTAAAATAGTTTCAAAGACACTATTTTGAAAATTTAACAAACCACAAAATGGCCGAATTTTAACAACAATGTGAAACATTGCCCATAACACACAATTCAAAGCTTCATGCAAATCGGAGAAGGTCGAGTTTTTTTCTATTCATCAATTGGCGTGGAACTACTCTTCTCCAAAGTGACTATATTCTGGAAGTTTAGTTCAGACCAAGGGTCTTAAAATTATCTCGGTCCAGAATCCTATGTTTTTTCGAAGACAGTCAAGTTTTTTAAGGTTTATCGATTTCCCGGTTTCCTATTGCTATAAATGATATAAAATTATGAATGATCTCACAACTTTCTCAAAAATTACATCGGAAGCGGAAGACCAATAATCATGCACCGAAAAACCAGCGAGTGGCAACCAAAATCTGAAAAGCGTTACAACGCAATACAATCTGTCAATTTGTTGTTGAACCACGCACTGAACACAGTTTCAATCTGTCCTATTTTTATCGTTTCGCAGTAGATGACCATGATTGATCGAACGTGGTTGCTACTCCGTTATTTCCAGATCAGCTGCAGCACAGATAACCAAAAGATGATACTTAGGACTAGCAATCAACCTCTATGTGTATGAACTGGTGATCCCAAATTTTACAATGCGGGTATGAATATGTTGACGTGATACTCGCTTTGTTAGAAGCCGAGAAATCATCCACGTACATCCTCGACGAATCACTGGCGGGTTGGGTAAAAGGGTACGGTACGCTTAATTCAAGTTATGCGTTCATGCTAGGAGAGAAAGCGACTAACGACTTATGAATATGAAGGTACCTGGGATTTAATACACGAACGTCTTATCAGTAAGCAAAAACGGTCAGTCTCCTGGCCACCGAGCCCCCATATCACAATACACCACCTATGATCGAGTTGTTGTATCCATTTAAACCCGGCGACGGTGTCGATGACGGCAATAGTCACACAAAACACAAACGAGTTAGAAATGTGACCCAAAAAATCTTTAATATGAAAGGGCTTGGGACTGAACCTACGACCTTTTTTTTTTTTATTTTTATAGTCACTTTAACACTCTTGGGTCATTCGTGACTTGTCCGGGGGTGAGATTTGAACTCGTGACTCTGGCGTGAGAGGTATGGATTTTTTTTCTACTTTGGTTTGTTTTTTCCGTCGATCTTGTTTTCCGTGCTGAGTACCAATGCTACCGACGTACCAGGAAGGCAGCTCCCACACCTGGACCCTACCTATCGACCCATCAACTCATGAACCGGGGACCAACGGCTTTACTTCCCATCCGAAGGAAGGCGTGATCAAAGATGTTATGCCTCAGAACATCCCGGCGGCGAGAGGTATGGATGTTAACCACTACGCCGGGGTCACCCGGACTTATGTTCAATAAACAAAAACGATCGCTCTAAGGCCAACAGGCCCTTTATTTCAAACCACACCACTTATGATCCAGTTGGTGTTGTGACGACAACAACTGTTACGCAAAACAAGACTCTAGAAATGGGCTTATTCAAACTGATCCGCAGTTATACGAAAACCCTTTCAAGAAGCCTTAAATATATTTAAAGTACACCGAGTGACAGTAACAAGCAAAAAAAAATTGAACCGGAAAATAAAAACACGTACACCCGCGAGCAAAGCATCTGGTGAGATCTGACTTTTCGTGCTTTAAATTCCGACCAAAATGTCTATGAAAAAAATCAAAACATTTCTGGTAACTCAATATTGAATAAAGTGGTTTTATAGGTGCATAGCATGCTAGATTTTGGCATAGAGCGTACTAAGTGTTTAATATGACGGCCAATTATTTTGATCTTGAATACTGCTGTTCTATGTGTGTTGTTAAATCTAAAGTGCCATCTTTCTACGGAATTCAACATTCCATTTCATTTCTCCGGTGGACTAAACTAAAAAAGAAAAAGTTCAAAACGTTTGCACAACATTTGCGACAATATTGGTCCCTTGGGCAAATGATACCTTTTCCACCCTAGAACCCAAACCCTAAAGCGACTGTGGTGGTTACGGATGAAGAGGAAATTGTTAGCCGAGTCGTGCGCACAATCAAAATGAATATCAGTTCGATTACAAATTCAAATTGGCATACAATGCGGATACAAGCAGCATCAGTAGCAGCAGCAGCAACCGACGACGTCCAGACAATTTCGAAGAATTCAATCTGTTCCGAAGAATACCACACCGTCATCGGCCATTTGAATGGCTCGCGAATCGTGAGTTCTGTGTTTTTTTTTTTCGCGAGCGCGCGCGTACAAACTGTCTAATTTATGTCTATCATTAATTTCAACGGCAATATCACGTTTGAGAAGTCAGCCAACTAGCGAGAGCAGAGACCCATAGTAACAACCGGTAGTAAGATAAGATGAATAAATCGTGTTCCATTGCTCAAAGCAATATTACATTCCTAAATTGACTTTGTACTCGTTCGCTCGCTCGCTCTTACTCTCGACGATTTGCGTCTTCTACATGATTTGGTACCATCAGCCACTTTGAGCCACGATTGGAGTTCTTTCTTGTTGAGTAGCTTTCGATTAATACACCTGAATCATGACGATTGTTGGCCCAGGGTAATTATTTGTCAGTCCTTTAATATAAATGGAAAATATCTGGTTACCCTAGGGTTAGGGTCTAGTTCATCCTTATCCAAAAAAACTTTCAAAACAGTTATGTTGATGAAGATATACGAAAAAAAGGTCCAAAAACAAATATAACTGGATTCCAACGTTCCACGACAACTGGCGACAAAGTAACGATAAAGATCACGCTGGGAAAATGGGAAAATCATTTCTTCTTTATTTATCATCGAATGGCTGACATTTTCTTCAATCTACGGCTGCAAAACTTTCATCGACGAGAGACCATGATTGGTGACTCTGATGGCACCACCGATTTTTCTCTCTCTCTTTCTGTCGAATTGGAGCGCAGCGCAGTTGTCGATAGGGAAATACACAGTGGGTGCCTGGTCGGAGATGGGCCTCCGCCAGCGGCGCCCCGGACATCACCAGATGACAGTTTCAAGCGGAAATGAAACTTCATTCGAAATGATTTTCCCATTTTTCTCCAATCATTTGCACGTCATATCTCGTTTATCAGATTGACTTAATCTAATAAACTTTTTCATCGCTACGCTTCATAATGTGATGCTGCAGATTGCTCGTTGTCGTTAACGTCGTCATTTTTCCCATTACGACGGCCACTCTGCCAGAGCGGAGACCGTTCGGTTTAGAGTTTGGTTCGGGTTCGGAGAAGTGCACGTCAACGTGCGAAAATTGAAGCTTGCGATTTGCATAATAATTAAAATCAATGATATTCATGACCGACGGGATGACGTATACACATAGTCACAGAGAGATGGAGAGACGGACAGAGGCCACCTTCTCCATATCTAGAGTTCATTCTGGGTCTGGGATCGTCCAAACTGACACACGCAGCAGAGGATATCATAAATCGTCATCAACTTACCACTCGCATCTGCGACACTTTCTTGTAGCCCACATAGGAGAATATGTGTCCCAGGATTTCGACGGGTAGATTCAGCAGATTCAGGCTTTCGTCCGGCGGTGGCTGCTGGGGTGAACTGTGAACCGTTACCACCGCCCCCGCCACCCCCGAGCCGTGGGCCTGGGGAACATTTGAACAACTGACACTGCCCGAATTGTGACTCTGAGTGGCGGCGGTGGTACTTGTGGTGGCGGATCGGCTGTTCGAAGAAGGCTGGCTGGAACTGCTGCTGCTGGCGGCTGAGGAGCGAAACAGGTAGAGGGTACTTTCCTCCGTTGTGGCACCGGTCATCTGACGTGTGGATACCATTGTAGTTTCGCTGGAATGGGAAAATTAAATGTAGACTAATTAGTTGATGCGGTAACAATGCTGGATGGCATTTGAAGGTGGGAATTCAGTTGCTGGCGTTTCCGAAAGACACTCAAACAGCGTACAAAGTAAGATGCAAGCAAAAAAAAATCATCAATAAGGGTTATCATTGGTCCGTAAAATTCACGGAGAATTACTGATGCCAAATTTGTAATTTTTGCTCAATAGTTCGGTTCCAAATCGGGTCCTGATTAGCCTTCCAAAATTTGAGCTCGTTTGATTAGAAACTGATTTTGCACAGACCATTTGAAGTTTATATGGGAATTACTATGGGAAATTCAAACTTTTTGTTCATTACCGCTGGCGCCGCCTACAACTGAATTTAATCAATAAAAATTTCTGGTTTTTCCGGGTGCTCAGCATATTTCATTTTATTTTTTATTTTTTTCAAGTAAATATAAATATATATTATATTATTTTTTATATTTATATGGTAAAAAATGGAATATAGGGATGATTGATTTCAGCAATTTATGTTGGCATTTTATTTTGAATTTAAAACCAGGAAAAAAACCCCTTTGCCCTAATAAGAAGTAAAACTAGGGGCGAACCCGACGTAGTGGTTAACATCTATACCTCTCACGCCAAAGTCATGAGTTCAAATCTCACCCCCGGACAGGTCACCAATGACCCAAGATCGCAAGAAATTGTTACCCTATGTTACATAATTTAAATAATTATTTGTAGTTTAAAGAAATTGTGAATTCTTTTAAAAGATTCAGAATTTTTTAATTTATCTAAGTTACATGTTAATTATACGAAGGGCACTACGTCAAATTGATAGATTGAGCATTGACAATCTTTTAGACAAAAATTAGATCCATGGAATAACATTTGGATTCTCGGACTAAGCAATTTTGTGAACATTACATAAGAATATATTTTAAGGTTAGGCCAGATTTTTACACTTTAGAACTTTGCGTGATTTCTGACTTCAATAAGGCGTTTGACAAGATCTTAGATTTATTAAAATCAAGCCTCTTGGACGTCAACAAAATCTAAGGATTCTGACACTTTGAAGCATTGAATTGTGATGTAAATTGTGGAGGAATTCTATGCATAATTCTGAAGAAGTTCTGGAGAGAATAACCAATGAAATTTGACTAGAAGTTTCTGAAAATTTAAGAAGAATTTCTAGAAAATGTTAAGGAAAACTAAAGGTGAATCCTAAACTAATTCTACACCGAACCCTTTTTTATCGTGGGTAAATTTGTGCAATTCTCTTATCTGTGGTGAAATTCAAATATTTCTGGAGGTATTTTTTGACACTAGTTGCATCAAGCTTGGTTTTATTTGAACATAGAAAAAACGAAAGTTTGGTGTACTATGGAGAAAGTAACGGTAATTTCAAGGGGATTTTATTTTTATTATTACTCAAAGTCTTCTCAGAATGTCACGCATGTTTGAAGATAGTTTCAAGAGAACTCCTCAGAGAAGTCATTAGAATTTGGAGGGATTTTTAAGGAGTTTTGAGCATGAGCATGAGCATGATTGACCGCCCATAGAACCAATAGACGATGATTGGGGCTAGCAATCATCCTCAATATGTAAAAACTGGTGATCTCAAGCTAGGCAATTCCCGTGCCCGAACACAGGTCAAGAAAGGTATGGGTAGGAATGTGTTGACGTGACACTCGCTTTGATAGAAGCCGAGAACACCTCTGCACTTCCACAAGGAATCACTGGAATATTGGGTAAGAGGGTTTGGTTTGCAGAAGGGTTCGTTTTGGTAAACGATAAGCTGGATTGATATCCAAACGATCCTATAACACGAAGAAGCTTGGGATTGAACCCAAGGTCTTCTGTTCAGTAAGCAAAAACGTTTGCCATTAGGCAAACGAGCTCCTTTTATTATAGCAAACTTATGATCGAATTGTTGTGATTCCAATGTATTCACATTAACAAATAAAGCGATCAACAAATCTGGAGGGGCTTGAGATTAATGTTCTACTCAGTAAGCAAAAATGGTCACTCCAAGGCCACCAAACCCCTCATATCACATCACACAAGCTACGATCACGTTGCTAATTACAACTATTCAAAACCGACCCCGAAGGTGACGTTGATGACGATGTTACGTTTCACGACACACACGATAATCAAGCGATGTTACTATAAGTCTCCTTAATATGATAGGACCTGCGATTTATTCAAACTCAAACTCGACGGCGGTGCCCTTTACACAAGAAGCTACGAAAAAGAACATATAGCGGAGGTTAATAAGGCCAAAAAGCAAGAGGAAAAAGGCCTAACATATGATTTCAAATCAAGGGTTGCAGAACACATCTTCACAGAGGACCACCAACTATCGACAGAGGACATCACAATTTTACGAACCGTATCTACACCATGGAAATTGGATGTTGCAGAAAGCCTCGAGATCAACAAACAACGTAATTCAACTTTACTCAACAGGGATCAAGGAAACGGACACACATGGCTTTTCAAGTTACTACCTAGGACACATCAACGAGTAAGCAGCGGAGTACCTGTTCCTACAGGAAATCAAATTTAAGTTTACCTAGTTTCTAAGTGAAAATGTACCTGTGTTTATATAGGGTAAATGTTGGCTTCGGCACCCATTGACTCTTTTCGGCAACCTAAATTTAAACGTTAATTTCACTATGTTTTCCCATCAACGCACTTCCCTGAATGTGTCCAAACGATTGTTTAGCCTTTCAGCTTCAATCTGATTATATTTGAACGATCGAGCAATCCAGTAATGCTACATTTTTCTTCAAATAAAGCATACGCACTACAAAATGGGGTTGATTTCGAGTTGCCGATAATATAACAGCTGGTTAACACGCAGTTCTAATGGGAAGGTTGCCGAAGAAAAAGAGGCTGCCGACAATAGTCACACTCACCTGAGAAGTTTGGAGCGTTGTAAAAACGCTTTCAAAACGTTTTGAAAAATTCTGTCGATTGGAATGGATAGAGAAGCAAGCAGCAGATGAATGTAAACAAACAGACACATCATATATGTGCGTGACGCTGAGAAAATGCTAGTAGAAGTGCAGACGCTGCTTAGATTGACGAGAATACGTAAATTCCCCTATATTAGGTAAATGCGATGTTTTTCTTCAGTCGAGTATTTGTACAAGACACTGAAGATGTCTGCACATTGTAGACGAAATACGCGTATCTGTCAAGGATAAGCAAATAAGGTAGTGGAGTTAAATGGAAATTACTAATCCTTCTCTCTCTCATTATACAGGTATTCCACTAAGACGAAAAAGCGCTTATGCCTTCATCAAATTCTACTTTTACGCGGCGTTCGTTGTTTCCATTTGGTCCTTACGTCAGACGAGAACAGAATCAATAAAACTTTCACATTTTTGGGCTACCATGCCCCTTACTTCACAAAGTAAACTACGACCGACGCGATGATTTTACCAGCGTATAAATATTGCACATCTTTTAAGCTATCTCGACTGAACTCTATTGCTACTGTTTTCTCCTTCATATTTCACCGGACCGCCCGATTATGCGTCAACATACCGCATCAAAACCACCAAGCAACACAATCAAACACGGCCCGCATGATCGTTTTAAGGACACACCTAACAACACATCAAAAACTAACTAGGTACGAATCGGGTTGATAATCTCTCTTTACCGAACTCCCCAGTTGGAGTGTTGTTGAGTGCAGTACAATCGATAGAACTGTTTCCACACATCGTAGGTAGGTACATGAGCAAGACAGTGATCATCTCTTTTTGCCAGTGGCGGCGTTGAGAGAGATGATCAACCCGATTCGTACCTTCCTCAAAGCTGTCCTTGCTCGCTTTCTACTCTCCATATACAATTTTCACACTGCCGTACTCTAACGGAACTATCAACTCTATACTTTCATCATCTATCGTATAAAAATAATCACTTCAGTATGTTATTTGAAATTAGCATCTTCCTTTGGTTTGTTTTTTTCCGTCGATCTTGTTTTCCGTGCTGAGCACCAATGCTACCGACGTGCCAGGAAGGCAGCTCCCACACCTGGACCCATCAACTCATGAACCGGGGACCAACGGCTTTACTTCCCATCCGAAGGAAGGCGTGATCAGAGATGTTATGCCTCAGAACATCCCGGCGGCGCCGACTGGGATTGAATCCAGGCCTGCTGGGGTGAGAGGTAATCACGCTTACCACTACACCACCGGCGCCGTTAAAATTAGCATCTTCAACTATGTAAATCGTTAACTTCATGCCGAAGTAATACAAACAAAATAGTTAAAGTACTGAGGAGTTCCAGGCAAAATAACGAGAAAATAAATGAAATTTTGAATCGACCTTACTTTACGTAATTGTTTGTTATGGGCAATGATTCACATTTTTTTCCACAAATTCGGCTATTTTGGATCTTGCAAAATTTTCAAAATGACATCCTTGAAATTTCAGACAAAATGCAGCACAGAAACACCATTTCTGATCGAAATGTCGTCTGATACAAAGTTGTGGTGGAAGAAAATATATTTAAAAAAATGGTTTTTATTTAAATTTATTTTATGTAAAAATTCTAAAAAATGTTAACAATCAAAATATTTGAAAATTACCCTGCCCGATTTTTTAAATATTTAAAAAAAAAGCCTACGAAAAATGCAAACCATCGACACTTGAAAACTGAAGAAATTCGTAGAACAAGAACTTTTGGTCAAATATTTGAACATTTTGTAGGTACGGTTTCATGTGTATTTTTTCACAGAAAATTATTTAGAATGTATAAATTACATCAAATACAAAAAGTTCAAAAAATCTACCAATAACTCATGTTCTGTGATTTTTGTCAATTTCAAGTGTCCATAATTTTAAATATTCCAAATGTTTGAATTTTTCAAGAGCGTTAAAAAATAACATTTTGTAGGAATTTATACTTGAAATTACTAAAAACCATTTTTAGTCCTATACATCACAGCAAAAAAATAATTTTGATATCACGTCAAAGTGGATGCACTA